ATCTAGTTTCTAATCCGCTCTATGTGCCAACGTTTACTTTTTGCTTGTCTTCTTCATCTACCCTTCCGCTTAATTCCATTTTACTGGTCTAAATTGTCTTATGCGCATTCCTTTCACTTTGTTATGCAATTCTACATGTATTCACTTTCAATTCATTGAGTACTTAAGAAGAAAACAAACTCTCAATTCAAGTCAAGTGGAGGAACAATGCGAAAATATCTCTAGAATTGTGTGGCATGCGGCGGAGGAAGGATACGTCCTCGATTACCAGAGTGCAGGCGGCAACATCAAAGAAATTCACTCCCTGAACAGATCTGTCAAGGATGTATAAATCATTTAATGCCGTGACAATGTCCATCGTGACATAGGATATCAGCTGCGTACCGATTGAATGAGCCTTATCGCTCCTTTCGCAAGAAACCTGCTAAAAGGCAGTGGGGAACTACAAGTGCAGTTCTTTCAACGCACGAATCGCTACTAAAGACTTAAGAACTTTCGAAGCAAAGAAATATAAGACATGCGTACTGACCAGTACCCAAACGGCGGTGCTGGTCAGTCATTCGATTGACTAAATTTATGAGTTGTGTATAAATAACCCGCGTTCTGTGCTGTTTGCAGTACTTCATTACCTATGATATGAGTCATGCTCTAATGTTAGGATAATGGAAAAAATCGATTATGATATTGCAACACTAATATTCTAATCTCAATATTAGATTAAGAAATTATCATATTTTCGTTCAAGTTTACACGTTAGTCTAGCTTAAACCAAATTTTGCCCCTCCCTCCTCCCGTTAATCTCCAAAAACCATGATAAAACTAAGGCGTTTTTAGTAATGATAATGATAATTCATGCGCCACATGATCGGAAGATTCAGATAATGTGCGATAGATGACATCAAGAGAAAAAGAGGACCATAATTGTCAGTGTATCACTTCGATGAACAAAATCAGAGATATCCGTCGTTATAAGATTGCGTCACATTCTGCATATGGTCTACCCTCTGGACTCCGAATGACATTAAGGAAAAGTTACGACTGTTTGGACGGTCTTATACCTCAATTTTTCACCCTCAAGTTCGGTCACGTCGCATTTAGTGTTTCGTCGAACGCAAGTAACACCGAATATTCGAATCACTTTATAAACGCCATACAACAGACACGCACATATTCTATCGCATCGTCATTTGGACACCGTAAAATACAGGAGCATCGTAACGGCCGTCGAACATGGCTCCTAGCCGAACATCGGCAGCTGGTAGTCGGCGGCGTTCCGCTTACCGAACATCGGCATCTTATAGTCTCGGTCTTCTCTGTCGAACTGGTTTTCCTTCAGGAAAGAAACGAGGTACTCTCGAGGTAGTCGCGGCAATCGTCGCACCACCTCAAAGTGTTGCGGTCTGACGACCGGATAATTCGAGCCGATGGCATGGTCGAACAGTGGGCTGCTTTCAGACGTTTGCACGAGCAGCGTCGTCAAGCACATCAGTGCCAAACCTTGGAATGCGTTCATCTCCTGAAAAAATGCACGCACATTTACATTCCGGCTAAGAAACACGGTCATCGTCAAGTCGCGCACTTATATACCCTTCATGGGGGGGG